TTGGGGTCTAGGGCTCATAGGGTTTAGGGTTTATGGTTTGGGGCGCCGTCGTCGTGATCTCGAGCCTTCCTCAACCCAGCACAACTGGCTTTGAGTAAAGAGACGGCTGAAGCGTCAGAGCTCCAAGCCTCTACGGGTTCAGGTGTAGGGGTTAGGGTTTAGGGGTTTAGGGGTTTAGGGTTTAGGGTGTAGACCTTGAAGTCAGACAGCCAAGAGATTTAGAAGCCAGGAAGCATCATGCAATCATGCCATAAAAAACTACATTAATCGCGGCTATCCGGCAAAACTGAAGGATCCAAGCTCTGACGCTTTTACAAGGAGTGGGGTCCTCCAGGGAGGGACCCTATGGCGCACTCTGAAGCCAAGCCAAGCCAGACCTCCATACGCCTCTGTGTGCGTGCCTTTGTCAGGCCCAGGCTCGCCCAACCCCCGGTTGTGAAATGGGACAAGACTAGAACCCATGCACATGAGAACCAAATCAACCAAGCATTGGTAACACCTGCACGGACCTAAAGATACCGCGCCCTAGCCCTAAACCCTCGACTTGAAGTGCCAAGTATCTATGAATGTTAAACCTCAAAACCCTACACCCTTACCTTCGGTTAGTAGGGAATGGAGGAGTGGGGTACAATTATAACTACTGCTACTACCATTCTTCCATTCCCTACTAACCAAAGGTAAGAACCCTGAAGCGCTAAGCGCAAGCAGGTCTGCCATCCTCTCCTACCAGCTCTTCCTAGCATGGTTTGCCACTGACGACTTCGCTGCCATGCGAAGACGTGGGAGTCTGAAGGTGGGCTCGCGTTTAGGATTCGGGGTTTACCATGTGTACTTTTCAAGAAACTCAAATCTCCATGCAAAAATAGGGGCCTTAATAATTGCCTATATATACTATTTTTGGGGTCCCTCCTTACAATTATAGTATAGTGGGCCCCAAAACCTTATTCTGGTTAGTAAGGCCCCCACAGTACCCCCAGTAGAGCCCTCCAGCCTCGGGCACCCCCAAGGCTCGGGGCCTTCCCGCGGCCCGAAGAGGCCCAAAGCACCAAAGCCACGAAAATCTTTGAAACCTCATAAAACAGAAGAAGAACCTTCATGGAAGCCCTGGTGCAATCCTTATGCAACAGAAACCTGAATACTTTCTGATACCAGTCCTTACTGCTCCGCATTAGAACTAGCGTATAGTATACCCCAAAAGCCCTTTTCTAACCAATCAGGCCACGTACTGCACGCTTACACAAACCCGTCTAGTTTGAACCCTGTAAAGGAACCCGTAAAGGAGTTAAGGGTCCATAGGAAACCTTCATAGATACCCTTACAGAACCCTTCAAGGATCCCTGAGGCCTTCTTCGAATTATTCAGGCTCCTAAACTTAGGGGTACTTAGAAATGATTCTTAATTTTTGGTTTTTATAATCCCTAAGAAACAGCTAAAATTATAATTCTTGCTAGGGTTCTAAGTTCAGTATAGTAAACCCCAAAACCCCAAACTCCGACCCTAACCGTCAAGGCCCGCTTGATTCGAGCACTAAAGCGGCTTGTCCCCTCCAGGACGTCAGCTCGGCGGCCTCGCTGGTCGACTGAAAGTGATACTTCTCTGAGGGCTCCCAGGGTTTGGGCCTTTTAGGGTTTGGAGTATTCGGGTTTAGGGCTTGGGGTGACATGTTCAGGCTCTAGGACTTTAAGTTTAGGCTTTGGGGTTTAGGCGCTTGAAGTTTAGGCTTTCGGGTTTAGGGTTTAGGGCTTCAGTCGCCGCGCTAAACATGGATGGGCTTTTCGTTTACGGTTTTCCGATGCGAGAGTTTTGAGGCCTAGGCCCTTCACTTCGAATCGTACTTGTAGTTTCGACACAGAAACCTCGGGAGCCCTGCATTCCGAAGACTGGGCTGGGCAGATCGGCTGTGAAACAGGCCATCCCATCCAGAATCGGGGGTCCTTTTGCATCAGTCGGTATACAGTAGAAGCCAGAAAGTTGGAACATCATTACCCTCATGCCCTTAAGGTAAAGTATAAGGGATCCTAGCACTAATCCTCCTAAAGCCATGTTCCAACTTTCTGGCTTCTACTGTAAGAACACTGGCGCGAAGTGTAAGTCGCTGCATGCTGCAGATCTGCTTGTGTGGAGGGTTGCTCATGCCGAGCGCGTAGACGTTAGGCAGATGATGCACCGTCCGCATAGCCATGCAGTTACAAGGGTGATGATGCTACTAGGTTAGTCATGGTAGTGGTGATGGCCTCGATAAGCATCATGATGACAAAGACTAAAACTTAAATGACATAGTAAGATGCTGAGAGCGACGGTGACGGTGATGCTGGCGTCTATCACAGAAAGAAAATGCTAGTACTGCTAGATGGTAGGGAGTTTCAGATACTGCGTTGGTATCGGTCATTGGACGCTTAGGCTTGAGCCTGCGGCTCGACACCGGGGTTTAGAAGTTGAGGGGCTCTAGGCCCAAGTCTCGAACAAAAAAGTCCGAGTCCGTGAACCCTTGACACTAAAACCACCGTTAAAAGGGTTCACGTCGCAGTAGCTGCAGTAACAAAAGTTCAAGTGGTGGTAGTAATGGCAGTGGTGGTGGTTTGCCTCTGGATTCCATAATATATTGGCCTTAACAGTTGGAACAGGGTTTTGGGGGAAATGATACACTCTACTATATTTATAGTAAGGAACCCACAAAATGGTATATGTAATTATTAAGGCACCTATATTGCTGAATGTTGGGAGCTGACAGGCGATTCCTTTCGATACTCTTAGTCGCTCTTGGCTCTTTCTTAGGGGCAGTGATTTTTTTTTTGAAGTTTTTGGGCCCTGTTATCCCGAAGAAACGGCCAAAAGCACATTTTTTGCTTGGGGTCTAAGTTCAGTATAGCTTTGCTTCACTACTACAACATGTCTGTAAACCCGAAGCAGCGCAGCGTCTTACGCCCGTGTCCAGGTTTTCTAGCTTTCGTGAGGGTCGCTGTGTCTTGAGCAGTTAAGCCTGAACCTCAGATACACAAGCCAACCCTCAAGCCCTAAACCCTTCAACCGTAGACCCTGAAACCCGAAGCCGCTCTAGACCATAAGCCTTAAAGCACAAACCCTCTAAAATTCAAACCGGAGCAGCTTGCTGTAGATCATTCAATTGCGGGCACCGGTCCAGCGATTCGCAGCCATAGAACCAATTGTAGCCCTAATAACGACCACAAAGACAGAGATATCAGTAGTACTACCGGCACTTCAATAGTCATAGCCATAGTCACAGCAAGAATACCAGCGGAAATTGTGACGGCAACGGGAGCAGACGCCTTCAGCCGGGCCCTCTTTTACTGGCGGTGAGTCGGCGAATGGGACGGGCGTGATGTTTGCGGTAACGGCCTTGGTTTTTGGAGTCTAGGTCCTTTTTGCCTCGAATTTCAGGTGGTGCTGATGGTGACGGCCAGGGAAATCGGAAAGCCTGCAAGCTTTAAACTCGAAGTCCGAAGCCCCATGCTGAGCAGGTCTCAGGACCCAAGCGACCCATTTTTCGCTGTGCTTTTTCGCACGCCCGCATTCGTTGGCCGAACACAACGGGAGAGACAGATCTTGGCAACCACTTCCAGGGTTACTTCTATGGGGAAGCCCGAGCCCTAAGCTCTTTTTCTAAAGAGTCTTCTGCAGCTTAGGGATTCTTCCATCATCCCTGTATTTGCAATCCTTCTTTCTTACATTCGAGGTCCCTCTGAGGTTTCCAAATTTTTGATTAGGTTTAAGGTTCTGGCTAGTTGAAAGCTTTGTAGCCTGTGATTAGGGATAGGCCTGCAACCTTCAAAGCCATAGGCGGAAAATGGGCATTCATAAGAACCCCAAGCCCTGAAGATATACACCCCGAAATTCCTGGCGTCAGCTAACTTCGGAAGAGCGTAACTATGGTCATCCAATACCCGTTGCTGATTCTCGCTACTAACTGAAGTTTCTACTTGACCTGCGAGTCATAGGACTTGCGATGCCGACGATGGAATGACTCCTACAAGCATGGCCTGCAACCGAAACATGAATCCCTAAACACCCGCAACACCCTAAGTCTTAAACCAGCGAGGGGGAGGAGAATGGGCGGGGTCAGCTTCTAAAAAGCACCCTAAGCCCACTATCAGCTGAACCCTGAACCTGTGCCAAGCTCCTTGGAATCTCCGGTGCGGCTGCGGAAGTAAGGACCAAGCGGTCTTTAGCCTTCCTCAAGACCTGCCAAGATTTGAGCGAATGTACAGGACGGAGAAAAAACCAAGCGTTTTGGAGTTTGCGCATTTCAGGTTTCAGGGTTTAGGGCTTAGGGGTTGAGGGCTTAGGGTTTATGGATTTAGGGTTTGGGCTCTTGAGTACCTCTGTTATGGCAGCAAGCAGGCATGGCACAAAGTGGTCTCCGCAATACTCAGCACCCGATGATTCCCTTCCAATCCGAACATTCGCTCGACAACACCGCACCGTACATAAAAATGGGATGCATATCCTTGAACCTGAGGAGACTCACTCAGCAGCTTCTGCGAGGGGTTATCTGTAGGATGTCACAGATTCGGGTGCATATCTGCCTCAATAACATTATAGTTTACTGAGTTTCCCATAGGTTTCCCTTCACCTTAACCCAGCCCCCAAGCAAGACATAACAACCACAGTTCTCACATCATAATATTGTTTGGGAGAATTGCCTCATATAGGGGTCTGTATAATCAGTGAATCCCTTGTCGCCCCTATCATAGCTAGACTAGGCTATACCCCAGAGCCCTGTTCTCATCTTGGAGGCCTCTAAACCAAAGCCTCATGGAAACCCTTGCGCCTCTAAAACCATATTCTGATTATTGAGGCCCCTATGCCAAACCTTATGCTAAACCCTCAAAGAAGACTTATATATAGAATCCTTCAGCCCATGCAGATCCCTCAAACCCTATCCACTGAAGCTCGAAACCTTAAGGCCTAAGCCCTAAACTCGGAAAAGGTGTTAAAGCAAAAACCCTAAACTCTAAGTCCCAGTAATATATTTGGATCAGGTCTGGCTCCGGCTGCGGGAGGCCCGACTGGGGCTGGGGGTGATTCTTGGGGTTCTAGGCCTAAGGCTTGTCTGGGTTTGGGCTCTTTGGTTCTACCGTTCGGTAGTTTAGGTTTTTGGGTTTAGGGTCTGTGTTTGTGTGTGTGTGTGTTTGCGCGCATGTGTGTGTGTATATAGATGATATGGTGGTGTTTACGTTTTCGGGCTTGGCGTACGGTGTTCAGAGTTTCGGAAAACCTGGATTCCGTAGCCTAAAGCTAGTGTTGATGTCAATGCCGTGTATACCTGTGGGATGAGAGTGAGATGTAGGGCCAATGCAGGGTCAATGTAGGGTGTAGTGATGAATCTCAACGTATGCCGTAGCATGCAGCAGTTTTGTAGTGTGCATACTGCTATGCAAGCCAATCTGTCCGTCCTGTCTGTTTGTCTGTCTGTCTGTTCTTCTGGCTGACCGTCATAGGGATCCTTATCACACGGATGCCTCAGTATTTTCCAGAAGCTCCCATGTGCAGAGGACACATGGGTGGACAGCTTTAACATGAGTGGCCATGACCTCAGCTGTCGGGATCCAGACTGCGAGGGGCAGCGGCGAAGGGTGGGGTTTCTGTGGTGATCTGAATTCCCTTGAAAGGGATCCTCAAAGGGGTCTATAAGGGATCTATAATCATAGGAATCATAGGGTTCTATATTAGGAGCTGTCGACTGTTGCTATGTTGACTTGCTCCCGAACCTCAAACTCCGGGCTGCGGCTTCGGCGCTGAGCGGTTTAGTTAGGGTTGAGGCTTCATTGGCCAGGGCCTGAAGCTTGCTACACTCCCCTCCTTAATTTCGAGATCCCTTTGCCCAATGTTTGGAGCTTCAGGCCCTAAACAAAAGGACCCCAATGAAGGACCACTAGATAAAGCCTCCCTACTTGTAAGAAACTCATCAAGCCCCTGTGAAGCACATCGAAAGACATTCTTAGTTCCGGGACGCTTCAATACGGTCCCAATTCGAAGCAACACCAGCTTGTCATGAAAAATCAGCGATTGCAAGAGCACTAACCCCAAACCGTAAGCCCTGAACCCTGATTCCTTTACCCTGCCTGAACCCAACTAGACCAACAAATCCCATCCTCATGGAACCCTTTAGAGAACCCTTCATAGAGCCCTTCATCGAGCCAGAATGGCACCCCTAATATAGGCGCCAAAATAATTACCTATACTATTTTGAGGGTTCCTTATAATAATTGTAATATAATGGCCCCAAAACCCTCTTCTAGTTATCAAGGCCCCTCTATTATAGTACCCTTATAGATCACTTATGGTAGCCCTTATATAGACCCCTTTAAAGGGAACCCTATTCAAATTATTAAGGCCCCTGTATTATAGTACCCTTATAGATTTCTTATAGTATCCCTTGTATAGACCCCTTTACAGGGATTATTAAGGCCCAGTACCCTTGGCTCTGCAGGCCAGTACTTTGAGTTCCCCTGCATCCTGGGTTTCTCGGCAGGGCAGGGAGAGCTGGGAGTTTGGAAGCGTTTTCGGAAGGTTCCTTTGAGGGATTCCTTCGCGGACCCTTCTGGAATCTATAAGGTAGAGGCTTTTTGCAAGCTTCCTTCACGGATTCCTTCAGCGATCTTTGAAGGAAGCTATACGGTAGGTAGAAGGTTCTCACCAGGTTCCTTTAGGGTTGAATTGGGGATCTTTTAAGGGATCTATAGAGCATAGGTAGTTAAAGGGTCTCGGGTTTTCATAAGAGTTCTATGAGTGCTCTACAAGCGCGGTTTCGAGGGCTGTAAGGTCTTTTTGGCTTAGGGCGTGTCTTAGGGTTGCATGTACCTCTTGGCTTGGAACTTATGATTCGAAAAGCTCTAGCCGGAAGTTTCACCTCTTTGAACATTGAAACCCTGAAACCCTAGAGCAGTAGTTGGGATGATCCCGAATTAAGAGCCCTTGTCTACAGGGACCATTCATCCTACCTACCTTCATGCTGCATTGTGAGGTCCTCGACAGACTAAACTAAACCCTTACTGCTATCAGGCTGGCCTCCCGAAGATATTCCACGGCTTCTCAAGGAGGCGCGCGCTGCTGCCGAGCTTGGATTTTCCGGTTCGTTTCCATAAAGAGTTGTATACTTATACACGGTCCATGGGGTCTTAAAAAGGGGCTGACAGGTATTCTGAAGGCTTGCAAACGGGTATTGCTGAGTCCAATGTATGCTGCTACAATACGGCTCTATATAATAAATATAGATATAAATAAATATATAAATACTATATATATATATATATATATATATATATATATCTATATATATATATATATATATATATATATATATATATATATACATATATCCCATTATGGCAACTTAGCGAGAGGCGCGGGGTTTTGGGTTTAGGGCTCTAGGGTCTGATTTCCTGGTCTCGGGTTTTAGAAGTTCTAGGGTTGGCAGCTTTTTTAGGCGGGTTTCGAGTGTTTTACTGTTTGTAGGTTTGGGGTTTCGCGTTTCCAGGTTAGGGTTTAGGGTGTGGGTGTGTGGTTCTGTATCGGGAGGCGAGGGGTTCCGGGTGTGAACGATACTGGATTTAGGGTTTCGAACTCGCGCTGTAGGTTTTTCTATTATTCTTCTTACTATTATTACTACTACTACCACTACGAATACCACTACAGATACCATTATGGGTATGAATTCCTACTTAATAGTAGTTTCAGAGTCCTTGCACATTAATCCATTTCCAAACGCCGCGCGGCTCCGCCGCAAATCTCTGCAGTTCCCTGCACTGGGGGCAGTGGTAGTGCTCAGGGGTTTGGGCGTTTGGGGTTTAGGTCTTGGGGGTTGGAGGGTTGATTCAGGCTTTCCTAAACTCTGTGCTGTGGCACCCGGCAAGACACCTCACCAGCGAAAGCAGAAGGCGGGCTTCGCCCTGTCCTCCCTAAATGCCCGACTGCGCATCGTTCGCCTCCGCACTTTCATCCCTGAATCAACACACCAATGCTTGCAACGGGAGTCGTGAGCAAGACTTCGTGAGAACACCCTCGAACCCCAGAGCCCGGAAAGCCTTCGACTCGGGCCCTCAACTCGCAACGAGGCCAAGCAAGAGGAAGCAGCCGCCATGCTTGAGCGGAGGCGGGTGTAAGGAAGTGTCTCCCTTCCGAACTTTTCAGAGCCCCCCACATTCGGTTACTAGTGTTAGTAGTATGATTACCATTACGATTACTATTATTCTTATAAGTATTTTCATGATTGTTATTAGTCTTGTTATTACTTTTTTTATTATGATTGTTATTGGTATTATGGTCATGATCCCCGGCCGCTTGGAGGGAAGGCAAAGCTGCTGCCGGCAAAGCTTCGGCCAGCGCTGCCGCCACAGGCGGTTGAGGGTCGTATGAAGGTTTATGAGGGTTTGGGGTTTAGGGTTTATGAGGGTTGTTGGCTTCTAAGCGGGTTTCAGGGTTGAGGGTTGAGGATTTGGTCAAGGGTCGGAGGTGAAGGGTTGAGGGTTCGTGGGGAGATGTGGGTAGCACTCAAGAGTTTAAGGCGGGACTGCACGGCCGGACATCAAAAAAGGCACAGTCTTTCTTGTGGGAAACCAGGTCCGAGCATCGAAGCAGCCTCTAAGTGGGAATTCAGGTCTTCAGGTGTTTACGGTCCCTTGCAGATGTCTGTGGGTAATGTCCCATTTAGTTTAGAGCTCTGAGGGTGGTTCCTGCTACGTCAACAGGAATGAAGGTGGCAACATAGGTTCCCGACTGATTACCAACCCGCAGAGTTTAGACTGCTTTCTCATCTCAGTTATACCATATGGGTGGTTGTCAAAATTATGGTCCTTTTTGGGTCCCTATTATAATACGGCACCTATTATTTAGGGTACCCAGTAAGGGACCCCAATTTTGACCACCACCATATCAAAACCAGGATTCGGCTTTCAAGAAATTTCGGGCATTTCTTTGATTTTTAAATTAGGGGGAGCTTCCGGCTTGCAGGTTTAGGAGGCGTCCGCTTGTCAGGAGATTTTTTTAAAGAGCTCCACCTGGGTTCAGGGTTCATCGAGGCTTTGGGTGTACTGCTTTGGGCTTGGGGTGTACGGTTTAGGGCTAGATAGGGGTTTAGGAGCAGACGCACCTCGGCTGCAAAGCTCTCCGCCATAAACAATGAAAGCCAATGCGCAATGCAACTGTAGATCTCTGTAAAATCCGCCGCCACCTCCATTGGGTAGGGAGCCCTGAACCCACCAGGCTTTGGTCCCCTGCGCCCGCGTGAAGCAAGCAACCCTAAACCCTAAACCCAACCCTAAACCCGACACCCTAAACCCTAAACCCTACACCCTAAACCCTAAACCCTACACCCTAAACCCTAAACCCTACACCCTAAACCCTAAACCCTACACCCTAAACCCTAAACCCTAAACCCTAAACCCTAAACCGAAGCTTTTCAGGTTCAGGTGCCGGTCGGAAGGGGAAGCGGGCCACGGCAGGGGGGCCCAGTTGGCGCTCCCTGGGTTATATAAGGCTCTTATTTGGGAGGTTCCGAAAATTAGGGTACCTTAGACTGGGGTCCTTACAATAAGCATCCTACTATTTAGGGCACTATATTAGGGTCCCCTATTTTCGGAAACCCCCCATTCGGCTTCATTTTCAGGGACGTTCCATGAGGAACAGGGAGGGTCCCGCCCCGGGTTGAGCATAAGGGTTCACCTAATGAAAGCCAACCTTCCAAGGAACCCTAAACCCTAAACCCTAAAGAAACCCCCAAGCTCTTGAAATGTAAACCCTAAACCCCTCACCCTCTTCGCGCGAGATGGAAAAAGGCCCGTTCAGAAAAAAAAGCCCAAACCCCTAAACCCTAAACCCCTTAACCCTAAACCCCTAAACCCTAAGTTCTTGGAGGGCCCTTTGTTGTCCGGAGCCCCAGGAGACGGTGGCCGACGCGGCCGAGGAGCAGCCAACGCCTTCAAAGAAGGTGAAGAAGGTTCCAAAAAGGGTGAGAGTTTGGGGTTAAGGGTCCAGGGTTACGGGTTCCGGGTTTAGGGTTTAGGGTTTAGGAGTTCAGAGTTAAGGAGTTTAGGGTTTTCGGGTTTTAGGCTATTTTCAGGTTGATTTCAGTCAGGGCCGATGGAAGACTCTCCAAGTTGTGGGTGCTCCTGCATTCGTTCTTGGGGCATATCAATGTCAAGACTTCCCCCAACTCTACCGAAAAAATCCCGAACCCCAAACCTAGAGCCAAGCTCCGAACCAAGATCCGAACTGAGCCTAGAACCCAATAACCCTAAACACTAGACACTAAACATGGAACCCTAAACCCTCAACCTCAAGCAACCGGAGGCCCTAGACCTTCAACCTCATGCCTAAAGTCCGTTGGAAGTCATCGACCCGAATCCTCGAAATCACATATGGCTGAATATGGAGTCGCCAAGCCTTAAACCCTAAACCCTGAACCCTAAGCCCTAAACCCTACACCCTAAGAATCCTGTCAAGGGAGGTGCCCACGGTTTCCGGAGCCTTCAAAGAGCCAAGCCTTGAACTCTAAGCCCCTAAGGTCACTGGAGTGACAGGAATTAATATTGCTAATACTACTGTTATTCGTGTTACTATTATCATGATTAATACTTTTATTATTATTGCTATTATTACTGTTATTATGATTAGCGCTATTATTGTTATTCTTATCGCTATCATAGTAGTTGTTGTTGTAACTAATACTGTGCCTCTTGATATATTCGTGCCATATTGTGCTATAGTTTACCCCAAACCTTGCTCCAATCATTAGGCCCCTGTGCTACATCACGCGCCCTAAGCCCGAAGCTCAGGAGCCCAAAGCAGAGCTTAAACCCTAAATCCGAGACCCCAGCCTAAGCCCTATGGCTACACCCTCCACCCGAAAACCCCAAGCCGTTTTGGGCCCCTTTACACTATAACAATCATAATAATAACAAATAATAACAATGATAACAAATCATAACAATAACAATAGTAATAATAGAAGTTCAAAGCAGGAGCCTGTCGAGGAGGCCGAGAGCCTCCCGAAGCCGAAGAAGAAAATCAAGCAGGTTGGGTGGGATCAGGCCTTTAGTGTTTCGGTCCTCGGAGTCCTCGGGTTTAGGGTCTTAGACTTGTGGTTTTCGGATATTGAGAGTTTTTGCGTGCGCTTTTTACTTCGGCTTTCTGGATTTCAGGGGTTTTTGGGGTTCAGGGTTGACTGCAAGCTTGTGGCGTATCCCGGACCGCGACACCTTGATTTTCCGATTCCTCCAGAACTTGGGATCTATACACAGGGCCCAAGCACGAAGCCCTAATCGTCGATAATGGCTCCTTCTCAGGTTCCAGGCTTTTAGTTCCCGAAATTCAGAGGCCAACATAAAACTTTACTTAAGACATTAGATAAGTATTCGGGGCCCCGAAGCAGAGGGCCGTATTTTCAGAACCACCGAAAGCTCTCAACCCAAGTCCCGACCCCTCATCGTAACTCCCTGTAGAATCCTCTTTCAAATCCTTCAGAGCCCTACAACCCTAAACTCTAATCCGTAAACTCTGAACCCTCAACTTTAATTAATAATCCCTAGAAATCCCAAAAAACCCCTAAAAAACCTAACCGCCCAGAGCTTCGGCCCTGAGAGGAGCCAGCCCGGGAAGAGCCTGGGCCCTCGAAGAAGAGGAAGAGACAGGCAGGTGGAACAGTAATAGTATTAGTAGTTAAGGGTTTAGGGTTTGGGGTTTAGGGTTTACGGTTTAATGATTAGTTATAGTAATAGTTATAGTAAACAGTCATAGTAATAGAATTAATAGTTATGGTAATGGTAATTAGCAATGGTAATACTAGTAACAATACTAATAAGGGGATTCCAAGTTATAGCACCAGTTAAAGTTATAGTTATAGATATAGTTATAGTTATCGTCATAGCTACAAGAGCAGTAGCAATACTAATAAGGGGATTCAGCTATTACAAGGATTCACTGCGGTCTAGGGTTTCGGGGTTTTGGATTTCAAGGATTTCAGATTTTGTTTTCTTTTTTGGGT